CCCCCCCCCCCCCCCCAGGCCCCAGGCCCCAGACTCCAGACTCCAGACCAGACCCAGCAATTTGAATTTGTCTGGCTTGGATTGGAATTCATGGTTCCCCCGTTCCCCCATCGTTTGGTGTTCGTTCCATGACCCTTCTTGCTTCTGCCGGGAATTGAACAAAGCCGGAAGTTGTGCGTCAAGAGTCAAGAGTAAGAGTCAACAGTCAAACAGTCAAAACCTTTTCAGTTATTTTCAATGCCTTGATCAAATCAAGCCAGCCAGCGTCCATCCAACCCCCATCGATACTTTGGATTTGGATAATTTGGATGAATGACTCTGACTCTGAATGACTCAATGATAAGTTACCATCAGTGTGTCAGTGATCCAGAACCAACCTGGCCCAGTCACGTTCTGAATCGGAATCGGAACTGTGTCAATGTTGAGTGTTACATGCGTGCAGCACATTAGGACCAAGCCCAGCCGGTCTTGTTTGTGTTACCACGCCTGGCCGCCTGGCCAACTCTCGGCTGTCAGATGCAGAGGTCACCAAAAAAAAGAAAGGGCGAGAGCGGCGAGAGTCGAACGAACAGAACAGAGTGAGAGAAGAGAGTGCGACTGAGCAGACATGTCATGGCACTCGATGTTGGCTGCTTTTGTGCCTGTTGTGAGACCAGCGCAGACTTAAGGGAGGAGGGGGGGGGGAGGAGAGAGGCGTCGGAGGCGGAGGCAGCAGCCAATGGGGAAATCAGGGGACGTTCCTTCGTGTGTGTGGTCTGATTCAACGTCTGGCAACGAAAACGGAAGTGATGGAAAGGAGGGGTTGCCATGTTGTCCACCCAACAACGACCCACTATGTGGGTGCAGGTTGCTTACGTTCCTAGATTTGGGCCAGGTTGGGGTGGGGCGGGGGGGTGGTGGGGTGGGGTGTGTAGTGTGCTCTGGGGTGGCGCAGAGTGGGTGTGTGGGGTGGGTGGGGTGGAGGGAGGGCGGAAGGGAGGAGGGAGGGACGAAGCCAGGGAAGGAGGAAGGGAGGGAAGGAAGGAAAGAGGGAGGGTATTCTCTGACGCCAGAGTCGGCATGTTTTGTGAGTTCTGGATTTGTGCACATGTCTCGGCTGTCTCTGTCTGATTGGCAGTGTGGCAGTCATTGAGCTCTGACTCGCGACCACGCGGTCGTTGTTCCTTGAAACACGAGCAGGAGTCTGTAGTGCCGTTCTTTCGCATGATGCAGAGGTCTCAAATTTGCTCACAGTTTGCTGTATGCCTGTATGCTTCTAACTTCACACGCAGAGTCCGTTGCTCTGCACAGTGCACAATGGATTCAATGGCTAATGGTTCGGGTCAGCAGAGCAACAAGCGCCGACGCCAGCTGTCGCGAGTGACTTCCATTGACAGCTGTGCTGCTGACCCAGAAGTATGTGTGCAGCATTGTGCGCCAGGTGTGCGCAGTGCTGAGGACCTTGCACATTGGCCCTTGGACGTTGTTAGGTCTGTTTGCCGCCCAGAAGATGATGAGCTCACTTTGCGCCTCAAGCACCGCCTGAGGTGTGGAATTGAGCTTAGCAGTGATTACTCCGGGCTCGATGCCCCGCGCGAGTGTCTAGAGATGGGTGTGCAAGCCTTGTGCCACGAGCTGAAGCTTGAGGAAGGGTGTGATGATGCGGTGTGGGTCACTCGCACATGCGACAAGGGTGCCTTGCAGACGAGAGTTCAGGTTGAAATGTCGCGGTTTTGGGAGCAGGGCCGGCGCTGCCATTTCCATGACATTCTGGATCGCTTGCCAGAACAAGGACGGGAGTACATCAATGCAGCCAAGCCCGAAAAGTCTGCCAGGAAGCAAGCTCGGATGGATGCGTACTCAGCCATCGCAGATTGGGTGATGAAGAACCGATCTTGGCTCTTCAGCGTGGATGCTGAGAGCTACTGTGCTGTGCATGAGCAGTAGGAGCCTCAGCCAACTTAGCTCAGCAGAAAGACCGAGAGACAGAGAGAGTCAGAGAGAGAGAGAGAGAGACAGCGTAACACACCTTGCCAAAGCAACGATGTGCACATGTCGAGCTAGAGGCACTAATTAGAGACAAGCTTCGTGTTGTGGCGCTTAAAGTTTAGAGCCGGTTCTCTTGAAGACTTGTTCGTGAGTTAGTGATGTGGTCGGTTGCTGCTGCTGCTGCTGCTGTAGACGTACGTCCAGATGTAGTGCTAGGTAACAACAGTAGAGCAGTGGACAGCTGTGCGTGCATTCCAGGTAGGCAACTTGTTGTGAATTATGATTGCCTCTATAGTCTATAGAGTCCTTAGCATCTATCCTGAGGCGCTGCAGGGTTCACAAGACAGGGGCCGTGGCAGATGGACATCAGAGCTCCGAGAACCATCGCTTGCGCATCAATGTTGCCGGTGTGACATGCCATGCGTGGAGCACGGAGGGAAGCTTGGAGGGCAACGCTCACGAGAGCGAGGTGCCACTGTCGGTGTGGCTTGCCGAGCGTGTCTTCATGTTCGAGAATGACATGGAGGATGTATGCTTCCTGGAGTGCACCCCCAGGTTTCCAGCCCAGCGCCGGCTGGAAGAAGCTTTCGGAAGCATTGCTTTCGTGTACTCCTGGGTGGATGCCGCTGAGTGGCATGGGTGGCCGAACCGCCGCAAGAGGGTCTTAGCCTGTGCTGTGAATAGGAGAACCGCCGTGTGGCATGGAGATGGGTCTGTGCCAGAGCTACAGAAGGATTACAGCCAGCGCTTCTATCGGCAAATGGCTAGCACCGGTGAGTTGCTGTTGCAAGCTACCAATGAAGATCGCATGCAGGAAATGGTGGGGCTCGCTGTGGCCCGCAAGAACAATGTCAGCCTTGCTGAGATGCAGCATCACATGGCGGCGAGGGATGGGCCGAAGATTTTCAGTTTGCTTCTGCCGCCTGGAGGAATCTTGCGAATGAGGGACTGGATGCAGCTGTTTCAGGACAAGAAGAGAGAGTGTCCAGAGCTGCGTGCGTTTCTCTGTGATGTCGATCACATCGTCGGGGGCAAGGGCCACTAGGCTGCAGATTCCGAGTTGTGTCATCGTTCAAATCTTCAGATTGAATTTCAGATGCCTTGTTGATGTTTGCTTTTGATGCATGAACTGACAGTGCAATGCAAGTTGCAAGCCAGTTACTGTCCGCGTGAGCTGAGCACGGTTTTTGATGCCAATGATTCCAATCGCCCCAACCATTCAGGTCCATGCGGTGGGGAGCTGTGGCCTACGCAGCTGACCCACGGACATGTGATGGCATTCTCCCTTCGGGAGACTGGGGCCATGACTGAGGAGCACGGAGTCTCATTCGTGCTTGCAACTGCCAGAGAGCATCTGTTGGCCCTGGGTTGGAGAATCTTCGGTGACTCGAGTATCATTTCGAAGTCGAAGCTATGTGCTGTGATCGACAACTTGAAGCTTTCTTCCTCGCACATTAAGCAGTTGGCAGGCAACTCCATGAACTTGCGGACCCAGCTTGCTTTCATGCTGTATGCAATAGCCAATGTGTCCAGGAAGAAGCTTGAGGACCCTCGCATGTCGCGAATGTCTTCTTGGTGCGAGTTCGATGAGGCCGAAGTAGAGGATAGCCAGTTGTAGGCTATGTGTGTGGCAGCGATGCGGGAATGCAAGCCTCAGCAACAGCTTGTTTTGAGTTTGAGCCGAGCAGTTTGTTTGAGAGTCTGGCTGCTGGCTTGCATATCGACGGCTGTCGCTTCCGATCACGGCAATCATCTTGCGACTTTGCGAGGTGCATCAGAAGTATGTTAGCCTCTGACTCGGAGCCTCCGGCTCTGACTAACTGTGACTGTGCAAGAGGGTTTTGGTTATATGGTCGTCAGGAAACAAGCGCAACTAATCGTGCTAACGACTTCTACTTCTGTGGCTTTATGTTCGAAGCAGTGACATTACTCTTGCAGCGCAGATGAGTTCAGTTTTGGTATTTCAATTTCAACTGGGGACTGGGGACGTTTTGTGAAAGGTACAGCATGAACTGTCCAAGCGTGTGCTGATGCTTCATTCAGGCAACATGTCAAAACAAGAGAGAGCCGTTTGTTGCTGTTGCAGTCCGAGATTGGCATTGCAGTGCAGATTGTTAGCCAGTTTGTCAGTTTGTCGTGAGCAACCATGCCATGCTTCCCATGTCAAAACTTGAAGCAATCAAGTTTTTCATTGTGATGTGCGGCGCTGTGCCGTGCGCTGTGCAGGACTGTTCTGTGCAGGGGTTGTTGCCCTTGCCCAGCCATGTCAGATGTGGAAGAGCCAGATGACCCATTCGATGATGCAACCCAGCTAGAGGAGCAACTAGATGAGCCGGCAGCAGAGGAAGGAGCGAGCCGTGGCCGGGGCCGGAGCAAAGCGAAAGCAAAGAGCAAAGCAGCAGCAAAGAAGGGGTCGGGGCGAGGGCGGGGGAGGGTGGCTCAAGGTCACTTGAAGGACAAGGACAAAAAGTGCTTCAAGGCCACATGTCAGGAGAAAGCCAAGCCCCATTCGAAGTGGTGCGTGAAGCATTCCAAAGACACAGAGGCAATGAAGTACCAAGCTAAGTCCCAACAGGACAATGGTAAAACCTTGCAAATGTTGGAGGCTGCTTTGAGTGATGCGAACAAAGCCGATCTTGCCTTGGATGAGTTCGATCGACAGAACCCTCAGGGACGTTTTCGCAAGAACCTGATCGACTGGAGTGCATTCCAGCAGAAGTTCGGCAAGCGAGCGGAAGTTCGCAATCGGTTCGAGGAGGAGCTCATGGATGTCACCGCCTATGTGAAGCACAAGGGTGATCGTGGGATCGATAAAGATCAAGCCTTGTTGGATTGGAAAGAACTTCTTGAGACTGATGCCGAGCGTGAGGGAGAGGGCACCGAGGTGAAGGTGTGGGTCGCCTTGAACAAGAAGCGCATCAGGGATGATATTTCTTATCGTGACCACTCTCTTCACGAAGGGACCAAGCAGACCAAGGGCATGAACAGTTCTGACAGGCCCATGCTGATTTCATATGTGTGTCGTTTTGCCTTAATGAAACTCGAACAGAGTGTTGGTTCGTGTTGACATGAAACCCAGAGCGAATTCCAAGACGTGTCAACCGGACCTATAAATAATACGTCAACATAACCCATGCTGTTGAGGTATTGTTTTATAGGTCCGATTGTCACGTCCTGGTTAACACACTGAGTGGAAGCTTCAATTGTGTCGTGTGTTAGTCAAGGAGCAATGGGAGCAGAGTTTCTTTTGCAAACACGAATGACAAGGCAGCCTTCCTTGGTGTTGTTACAGTTTGTGAGACACTCTGTAGAGTTGCAAAGCCAACCTTAAAAACAAAACGTGTTCTAGTAGTGTCGGCTTTGCATCCACGGCAGGCAGCACCTCCTCGACCACGTTTCCAATCAAGGAAACAACTTTGCGGACCCGTGGCTTCAGCAAGGCTTTCGCCAGCGAGTCGATGCTCCAGCTGCAACCAGCACCAGCTCGAGTGGTGCACAGGCGGAAGCAACAGCGACAACGCAAGCAGGCCAGCAGTTGCTCATGTGCATGTTTGCGCCTGCGAACATAAATCTAAAATTGTGGACTCTGTGGATAGTGATAGTACAATGTACAATTGCAGTTGTGGCTGGTGATGCAAAGTGTGGTACCGCTGTTCATGTTCCTGGAGATCCTGTGAGGCCCGAAGGTGGAGATCGCCATTGCAGGCCCGAAAGCCGTTGAGAAAAATGAGAGAGTCCTGGCAACTTGCCAGAAGAGTGTGGCAGATGCTCGCAAAGCTTTGGTGGATGCATTGAAGCTTGCAAGGGGGGATCAGAGTGCAGACCAGTTGCAGAAGGCCTACGAGACCAATTGCGTTGTGCGCTTGCAGATGTTAGACATCTGGGCAGCTCCTTCGCTCGCCCAGATCCCAAAGCAGATGCCGCTGCCGTCCCAGGCGATGTTTGCAACGTCTGGCGTAGATCAGACTGATCAGACAACAGGCCCTGGAACTTCGCCTGCAACTGTGCAGCCCCAACCAGCAAAGCAGGAGACAGGTGCAGCCGAGCCGGATGCAGGTGCGGAGCCTTTGGAAAAGGCTGCTGCACAGTCTGGAACTCCTACAAAGGCCGATGCCACAGATGAAAAGGCCCGCGATGGTGATGCGGCCACCCCCCCGCCCAAGGGACCCGATGCCAAGGATGCTGTCAACAACGATGGCAACGACAAGTCTGAGACTCAATCTCAGTCGACTCCTGGTGGCACGGCAGCCAAGCTCAGTAGCTATTTGCGAAAGGAGATTGCGGCTGCAGGGAGCAAGGCCCAGCATGTGGATCCGGTTGGCAACCTCATGGCTTTGGCTCACATGGAGGAGCTCTTGCAGAGCTTCATGGGTTGCGATTCCGTTGATGCATTGAACAAGGCCGTGAGTGATCTCAAAAATGCAGCGGTTGTTGTGAGACAGCTGAAGGAGGGGGCCACGAAAGCAGCTGCTAGCCTGAGGGGCCATATCCTCAACCGGCAAAGGGCTCAGCAGCGCAAGAGGCAGCAAGAATCCAAGCAAGTCGAAAACCAGGAGGTCCAGAAGAAAAAGAATGAAGCAAAGAATGCTGCCGAGGAGATCAAGAAGCAGGAGGCGACCGCACCGCCTCTGTTTCAGCACAACTGGGTCGACTTGAAGGGATCAGATGGGGCTGACCTCGCGAAGATGATCCACAAGAACTCCGGCCCCGCGAACAGGTCCATCAACTCGTTCGATGCCCCGTGCCTCATTTGCAACTGCAGCTTCCTTTCGGACTTCCAGAAGAACTCCAAGGCCTTCAGCCTTCATGATTCTTTGAGGCCTTGAGGTGTAGAGGCATTGAGGTCCGAGTTTATCTTAAGGCAGATTGATGATTGCACGTGTTTCGGTTAGGTCTCAGGTGGTCGGTTGGTCAGATGTGGGTTTTAAGTTTTAAGTTTAGTTTGTGTTTCTGGCGATTGTTGATTGTTGCAATGCGTGGCAGGTGATGCTGATGTTGGGTGGGTTCGGTGGGTCTTACAAGAAGAACAACGCCCTCAAGAACTTCGGGAAATGCCAGGAGATGGTCTACAAAAACTCCGGACTCGAGGAGTGCATGGAGCTTTGGGCCAAAACGGAGGCTCTGTTCCACAGTGATTTCGTTGCATGCAGTGACAAGATGGAGAAGTACCTCACTGCAGTGCTCAAGGCCAGTTGGCTCTTCGGCTATGACAATCAGGGCACCTTCCTGGGAACAATGCCGAATGGATTGGCCAGCCTGCGCATGCTCTGCTCCGGCGAGGTTCTCCTCGTGATGTTCGAGCTGCGCCAGTTGCTTCCGGCCATGAAGATTATCTTGGGCAAGGATGATGTTGGTGGCATCGACGGGGTGAATGCCTTCTTGAAGAACCTCTCCATGGAGGAGATTGTCAAGTTGAAGGACAATGGATGCCAAGCCTCGTACATCGTGCAGCAGGAAGGCCAGATCGTCTACATTCCCATTGGCTATGTTGTGGCCGAGAAATGCATTAAAGGAGTTCTTGTGTATGGGTTGAGAAAAACCTTGATGCCTGCAACAGCCATGGCATCTGAGAACTATTCGCTTCTCAGCGGGCTCTTCGAGGAGAGTAAAAAGCCGGTTGATAAGTTGAAGGCCACCTTGGCTTATCTCAATCCGGATGCAGAGTGACGGCAGCGCTCGTTGCATTTGAGCGCCTTGGGTGCCACATCGATGTATGAGTGTGGGTGCCAGGGCTGAGCTTTTGGAGCAGCGCACGGTGGGAGCACAGGAAAACCTACCTGCGCTGCGCAACGTTCTCGGGATCTGCTTGATCTGTGAAAGCAGAGCGTTCAAAAGTGCATGAGTTCATGTGTGTGTGTGTAGTGTAGTGTGTGTTTTTGTGTGTGTGTGTGTGCTGGTGCAGTTTCCTGCCAAACTCATTCCCGCGCCAGTTTTGTGATAACCCCAAACCCCAAACCCTAAACCCTAAACCCTAAACCCTAAACCCTAAACCCTAATCCCTAAACCCTAAACCCTAAACCCTAAACCCTAAACCAGTTTGTTTCAGAGCGCTGAAGAGGTCTATTGCATAGGGACGCAAAGAGCGGCCCAACGTTGGAATTTACATGCTAAGGCCTGTGACTGTTGCCAAAATGGCTTGTGAAGGGCATGCGTTTTTTCAGTTGCCAAATCAAGCTGGTTTGAAGCGCTTTTGCAATGCACAATGCACAGTCTTGGATTCTTAATCTTACGAAACGTATTTACAAGATATGGACACCGTCCTATTCAATAATCGGAATATCGATCGCGGCCACCTTGTTCAGCCTTGTTCCCCGGACTTGCCGGGATTTGCCGGGAATAGAGAGGGCCAAAGGGAATCCACGCAAGTAAGCAGTT